TCCAGAATCAAACTCATTCAGCACGAGTCAACATTACGAGTAAGTTGTAACGCTGGATTTAGACTTTGGAGCCCACCCATTTCAGTTAACTAGCGAAAGAGTCAGGCCATTTCATGTTCCCGGTACAATGACACAACAGCTACATCAGTCCTAACGTTTGGTTGATAACTCCCCACAATGCCACTGACCGGAGGGGTGTTGGCTGGTTGGGGACGATGACGTAACAAATGAAAGGAATTGGTTAGCAACACAAACCACTTCGGTCCCTTCGTGGTTTGATGGGTTGAATCGAAGCCGTAACGACATCTGAAATGAATTATTTAAGACAGCTCGCTCCATCACCATGATAAACACACCTAATGTGGGAACATACACTCACCTAAAGGATTATTAGGAACATCTGTTCAATTTCTCATTAATGCAATTATCTAATCAACCAATCACATGGCAGTTGCTTCAATGCATTTAGGGGTGTGGTCCTGGTCAAGACAATCTCCTGAACTCCAAACTGAATGTCAGAATGGGAAAGAAAGGTGATTTAAGAAATTTTGAGCATGGCATGGTTGTTGGTGCCTGACAGGCCGGTCTGAGTATTTCACCATCTGCTCAGTTATTGGGATTTTCACGCACAACCATTTCTAGGGTTTACAAATAATGGTGTGAAAAGGGAAAAACATCCAGTATGTGGCAGTCCTGTGGGCAAAAATGCCTTGTTGATGCTAGAGGAGAATGATCCAAGCTGACAGAAGAGCAACTTTGACTGAAATAACCACTCGTTACAACCGAGGTATGCAGCAAAGCATTTGTGAAGCCACAACACGCACAACCTTGAGGCGGATGGGCTGCAACAGCAGAAGACCCCACCGGGTATCACTCATCTCCACTATAAATAGGAAAAAGAGGCTACAATTTGCAAGAGCTCACCAAAATTGGACAGTTGAAGACTGGAAAAATGTTGCCTGGTCTGATGAGTCTCGATTTCTGTTGAGACATTCGGATGGTAGAGTCAGAATTTGGCGTAAACAGAATGAGAACATGGATCCATCATGCCTTGTTACCACTGTGCAGGCTGCTGGTGGTGGTGTAATGGTGTGGGGGATGTTTTCTTGGCACACTTCAGGCCCTTAGGCCATTGGCATCGTTTAAATGCACGGCTACCTGAGCATGTTTCTGACCAGTCCATCCCTTTATGGCCACCATGTACCCATCCTCTGATGGCTACTTCCAGCAGGATAATGCACCATGTCACAAAGCTCGAATCATCTGACGACGGGTTCATAAAATTAATCAAATGCATTTAGTGTACACCAGAATACAGCCATGATTCTGAAACTGTGTAATCAATAAAGTAATGACAATATTGTAAAACCACTGCAACTGTACTAGAATAATACCAATGTATGAATGATTGTATTTAATGTAATGTAATCAACTGGAATGCATGCCTGTAATACTTGCACAACAACTGATATTGACTAAGGGCCAATCGAAATCCGAGTTACATTGAACTCACCAGAAGACCACTCCCAGAGGTGTGGACACTAACTTTCACACCTTTAAGCATTGTTACAAATACCTGTAGGAACCATTGTTCTAGAGTTCGCTGGTGGAAACAACAGACGGGCACTAGGGATGGTCAAAGGACTGACGTATGGCCTGTTGGTTGCAAAGACCAGCGGCTCCTCAGCTGAGATGTTTTTTATACCACAACACCATCTCTTTTATTAAATACATTTGATTTTAACCTTTCGATCTGTGAGGACCTCTGTCCGTCCGGCGTTTCTTCATTTTTGAACACAACAAAGTGCTGCCGTTAGCTCGCGTTTTGTTTGCACCAGATTGCACAGGTTTTTGTCTTCGTTATAGAGGAAGGAAGCGCGGGGATTGGATTTATGTGTAGTGAGCCGACCTCAAGACCACACAAGGCCAACCACCAAACGCCACTGAAGGCGCTCATTGGGAAGGAGGGCCGAGGGGGAAGCTAAGCTAACCGCTAACCATCTAAGGCTACTCCACCACCCAATCTGCTCGTGGCTATTTCCGGCTAACCCAGACATAGGTTATTGACTGTTCAGCCCACATCTTCTCAGAGACATTCGTCCTGATGCAAACTCAAACCATTTGAGGTTTTACTCAAATGAAAACATGACAAATGGGACACAACTGCATTTTATCGTACATCAAGATCATGAAGCATGGTTGACCCTTAGACACGTGGCTACGGGCAGCCCCCGTGTCCAACGCTATATTTTTGCTATCCTTTGTCTTTTCACTGGAGCACACATGACCCGTGTGACAGAATACTCCCATTAGCTTCGGAGAAGGGAGCGCTCGAAGGGAATTGAGTAAAGTGCATCTGGAGGCCATTGCCGTTGATAACATCCTCCGACCACCCAGTCTAGACCTGCCGGTGTTCTATCATTTTCTGCTACTTGTCGAGAACTGCTACTTTGTGGTATTGCGCATGAGTCCATTTTCTAAGTTTCCTTGACACGCCCATATTATTTTGCAACCCTGTCGGTGAACGACGTGTTGACGGTGAGTAACATCCTCAAAATCCAGATTATTTCCTCTTTTTTTAGATTGTACAATGACCGTTCTCTTGAAATTCAATATTAAATAATTGCATGGACTGTGTATCCTTTCCTTCGTCTACTTTGTCGTATTATCCGTAATCTGTTTTCCATTTGCAAAAACACGATGAGAAACATCCACCTTTCTTCGCGCTTTTGACTTATTTAAGATAAATAGCATATAGCTTAGATTGCACACTGGTTTAGCTCTTGACGTTAAATTTGGAATAGTTGCATGTAGCTTACTGTGTCGCAGGGACATGCACATGATTCTAGAGGGGCTCACAGCGTGCAAACATACTGCCCAATTTTTTTTCAGGTAGTAATAACATGTAGATTAATGTAGTATTAATTAACAATTCTCGACAAAGCAGCAAACATCGGCAGAACACCGGACCAAAAGCCAACGAGGCCGTAGTGATGGCCCCAGGAAGGAGAGCTGAACTGGAAGCTAAGCTAACACAGCCACAGCATCAAGCTAACCTGCCACCCGGTCTCAACGGATGAAATAAGACTTCGGGCACACCCAGCAACGGAAGCTCTGGGACACGTGTACCTCAGTGCTTATTCCCATATTTCTGTGCTTGTGTGTGTGTGTGTGTGTGTATGAACATGCAAGCGCCATCAGGAAATGCTTGAGATAAGTGGAATGTCAACTTCCTCAGAATACCTTGTTTGTTTGCAAGAACACAGACAGAGATGGTGGCGAGGGATAGACGCGGCCTCTATCACTTTGGAATTTTCTTATTCAATTGTTTCTCAGAATGTTGTCTTGTTTAGGTTGGGATACGAGTCCGAAAATGAGTGTGTGCGTGTGTGTGAGTGTGTGTGTGTGTGTGTGTGTGTGTGTGTGTAGGCAGCTGAGCCTGATGTGAACAGAGCCACTGTGTAAGACCACAGAGAGACTATTCTACTGCGACACAAACACACTTTCACACACACACTCACAGCCATCCTCTCCACCACCCCCCATGTCCCCTCCCGCTCCCTCCTCACTCTTAATTTGTCACATTCACTCACAAAAAACATACAGAGGGTGCAAGAGAGGCCCTGGCCATCGTTCTGTCATTCTCACACACACACACACACACACGCACACACACACACACACACACACACACACACACACACACACACCTCTCGTGTTGTTTTTGTAACCCTGTGTAACACAGTTTAGGTCGTCTAGTTGCCGATAACAATGAAGTGTGTAAGTCATGGAGGTTAGGGTTATTGTACTTGAACTGGCAATTAGCTTTTTTCAGCATATACCACTTTACTTAGTTAACATTTAGCTGACGGTACATATTTTGACAACGTTAGCAAATGTTGTATCAGGTCCCTAAAAAATGTAACACATTAGGTGTAAGCAATGGTTTAGTTCACATTTCAAACACATTTGTCAGGTGAAAACCTTTTTGTTTGTGTCAGTTGTTGGGGTAAGGTTAAATGGGGTGTGGGCACCTAACTGCAGAACCATGCATCAAGTGAGGAACAGCAAATCTGATGTTCTTAGCTCACACATGAGGGCTCCACGCCATCATGCCTGCATTAGGACGTTACAAAAAGATGGGACATAACAGGTTTTATCATATTTAACCCAAAGTAAATTGCAAATACTATCGCTATATGTATGTACGCTATATGCTTTCACGCCCCATTCTCTGATTTTTGTGCAGTCCTGTCAATCAGATGTTTTTACTGGTGGTTACTTTTTGATTTAGAGCTATATTTTAAACCGTATAACCTACTATATTTTCAGGCATATATGTTACATACATAACGGTATGTTACCGACTATGTTACACCTGTGTCAAGAGAGCGTTGAATGTAACTGGCGCAGTCGTAGTGTGTACAGACAGTGAGTGTGTGTGTGTGTTCACTTTCTCTTTCAGTTAACTTTAGTGCTATACAAGAATATACTACCTTGTTTTGACTTAATAGTCACTTTTAAAATAGGTTTTATAATAGAATAATGTTTGTGGGAGATAGACGTGGAGAGATTTTGCAACGTCATTATTTTAAGTCCGCTGCATAGATCGCATAAAACGTTTGACCTTGTTTTTTGTTATTTAGTGTCGTTGTCTGTGGACTGGTTAAATTACAGGACCCCCTAACAAAAACCATCATTTTCAAGGACAAAAAAATCAAAAGAAATGAGTCATTTTTCACAATAAAACATTGAACTTAAAGAAGGCTATTTTAAGCAAGTTCCAATACCGTGATTTTTTTTGAGAAAACACCTAAAACACCTTAGACCTTTAGGATAATATCTACTTTCTACTCTGTATTCTGATAATTACTCTTTAATCGTCTCACATGCAGAATTCTAATCGTGGACCCACAAGACACTAAAGGCAATTATTTTGAAAGGTATCTCCGGAAATGGTACGTTTGACACCGACTAGCTTTTGTCGCAACTGGCTGAACTTCAGAATGAAGCCGAGCGGAGGGAAACCCGTTAGTTAGTTCTGTCGCGGAGGAACAGGGAGCGTCCATGTCTTCTACTCAAAGACCAGCTCGCTGACAAAAGTTGCTGGCAGCAATGTCGAGAGAAAACACCACTCGAAGTTTGGACAGCATAGACCTCGCAGCTTTAAGGGTAAGTTCCCACGTGCTGTCTTGCTATTTAAAGAGAGGTTTTTGGAGTAAACCTCGCAGGATGTGGTGGGTGTTGAAACTTAACGGGTAACGAGAGTCTCTACGAGTCCCCGTTAAGTCCCCGTTCCGTCCCCCGCCGTGTCTCACTGTGGGTCGCGGCTCTCTGTACCCCGCAGAACCGCTCGTGCGTGTCCTAAGCTCGGCGTGTCACGTTCACGTGAGTCGTGCCGTGAGGTTAGCGCGTGCACCGTGCCCCGGGGACGCGTTGTACCTTGGCGAGCTAACGTCTCCCGCACCGGAGGGCTGTTTTCCCGACATGCAACAAGTGACGGCCCCCCCAACACACTGTGACACCACTGGGATCAAATGTACCCGAGTTGGCACATGCTGGTTCAAACCCAATGCACATAAGTCTAATACTTTGTTTGTTTATGGAAATGTCAGATCCCTACAGGACATGTCAGTGTCAGGTATGTTTATACTTATGCAATGCGATTGTACATATGTTAAACTAAAATTATCTACAGGATTTTAAGCCAATACCTTTTCTTAAAGGTCGTCCCTCACCACACCAGGCTTTTATCGGTAGTTTAGCTGAGCTTCATACCTGCGCTAAAATGTACACACTGTAATGCATCCAACCTGATGCCCGCTTTTATTTCTGGGCAGGATCCTGCAGGCATCTTTGAGTTGGTGGAGGTGGTTGGAAATGGAACCTACGGCCAGGTGTACAAGGTGAGCCCTCGCATCGTGTTCAGGAGTTTGTTGCACACCCTTAGAGGGCCACAAACACGGCCGCACTGATCCAAACGTGCATCTGCTGTCTGTTCTCATTTAAGCAGTGTTTACTTAACGGGGAGTTCGATCCTGAGAAAGTGGCTTGTTTGCAGGAACAATGACAGTAACACACCCGCCGCTTCTGGTAAAACCTACTGCTTCCAGTTAGTAGTGCGGAAAAAGGAGCAATTCTCAGCTGACTGAAATATCCTGTCAGCACTTACTAACATATTACACACATACACACCCGCATGCAGAGCATCTGCAGCATCTTTTAAAGGCCCAGGGTGGGGCTCACTTCCTTATCGTAATGTCTGTTTTGGTATGAGTGGTTTGTGGTTACATGAGGTGTTCAGGCTTATTTAGGTCTGTGCAACGAGTTGTGTCCTCTGTGCATATCAGGTTTACATGCTGGTGTAATCCCACACATCGTGAGTTACCATATCGACGCGGAAGACCTTCATTTCTTCCCATGAAATGCTTTTGTGTTTGAGAGGTGAGACCCTTTTGTGAGTGGTCCAACTTTGAGTTCAAGATCCGCCCAAAATATCAACATCATAACTGTTTCTACTTTAGAGAATTATGTACCTGCAAGCAAAAGGAAACTCGAACTGTCTATACAAAAATATAACGTAAAAATACTTTAAACTCAATTGAATTATGTAAGATGGATACAGTTTATGAAGGATTGTTACTTTTACTGCACCAAAGGTGCAAGATCAGGTCATTTCCAGACATGCATTACTTAGTGGTACAAATGTGTTAATATCAACAATAACTACTCCTCTAAGATTAAATAATACATCTTAAGGGTTCTCTCCAAGGGGAACAAAAGTGAGTCTGGACAGAGATTGAGGTTAAAGTTACGAAAGCTTACGAAAGTGTGTGTGTGCGCTCGTGTGTGTGCGCGATAGAATAGATTTGCTGCCTTGAGATGCCCAGGACAGTACGGGCCTGTGTCTGCTTCACACAGGCTGCTTTTACTGAGGCCGTGAAAACCGAATCCAGAATTTCATCCGATGGCTCCCACTTGTTGCTTTAACATGGACAGACCTCTTAATACGAATGAATGGAACAGTTTCATACGTGACCACTTTGTCTATGCAGTCCATGGTCCAGCTACTAACCCCAAACAAGGCTATAGACAGGAGAATACAGACCATTTGAAAAGGTATAAAAGAGCATTTTTAGATTTACATTTATATGTTCGTGTGTAATGCCAACAGGCAAGTGACTGGACCTTAATGTTCCTGCGTGTCCTGAAACTTTCCAAGTGTGCTTGTGAATGTTTTCAGCCATAAAGTGAGTCCCCTCATTGGGAAACAGAGCAGGGAACAGGCCATTAGAAACAATGACACACACACACGCACACATAGCCCCTTAAGAAAACACTTTGTTGTAGATTGACGTTACAATAGTGCAGGAGATGCTGACGAGGCATCAGAGGCTCTTCCTCTGTTTATTTACACGTGTGTTGCATTTCCACTACATGCACTTTCTCAGCATTTAGTTATGTGGCATGAAGGGAGAGTTACAAAATCACAGCGTAGATGAGAGGAAGGTTAGTTGTGGCACGTCCACCACACAAGAGAGAGAATATATTTACTCTGTACAGCTCTGTACTGCTGAGGGAGACTAGTTCAGTTTGGTATCCAGATATTCCACCATCCACGTTTCTTTATTCCTTATTTATAATACAGAAATCCAGTGTTCTGATTGGCTGAAAGTGAGTCACGCGGTGTACATTATTGAGCGATAAAGTAGCAGTAGCAGTACCTGTTCACATTGACCCGAGCGTTCCATATCACTGCGCACTCAAAGGAACGGGTTAGATTTTACTCGACTGTTTGTTGACATTTTAGCTGGCGATCGCCGAAGAAAGACCAGAAACACCACAAATGATCGTTTCGGCAATGCGAGCTTTCACAACCACACAATTCAGGTGGAAGTCATGAGCCAGGTGAATGAATGAGATGCTGCGAGAACTTGCAAGGAGACCCAATGCTGTTTACGTGCACGTACAGGGACTATTTCTCTCTAGACTACTGAAATGCGATACACAATGTTTGGTGCCTACAACTATTTTGCTCGGAGCCTGCGTGCCGTCTTTGAAAAACAGTTAGGACACACAACGGGAAAATTCCAAAACACACACAGATGAAGAGGGGGCGGTGGGAGATGTTTATGTGCGCCCGTTGACGTGCAGTTTTGTGAGTCCCTACTGTAAGCCACGCTGTTTGGGGACATGGTGGAAGGTCATGTGGCCAAATGAGTGCCGCTCTAAACTGAAGCCTTGAAACCGACCTGTGTGTAGCATGAGCAGTTGATTGTAACGCGCAAAATAATCCTGGTATTACTTTTTTTTTTTAACCTGTAATCGCTGGTTGGCCCTCAGATATTAAGTCAACCCAAACCCGGGCATCAGTGGGAAACCCCCCCTCCTCCCTCGCCAAGGTCATTGGAACCCATCGGAACGGCCTGCTGATCAGCAGACGGGGTCTGTGACCGACTAAGACAGCCACATTGCTGCAGAGCCCCAATCGGGCCTTCTTTTCACAGCCACGTGGCCCCCGGTGCTGAGGAAGTCTGGAACCCAAAGAATCTCCAGTGCACTTGCTTTGTTATGTTCTCCACTGCATTTTGAGATCCGAGAGGATTTCATCAAAGAGAGCACAGCAGAAGTCACCGTGCAGACGGGGATGTCGCCTTTGCACGAAACAAGCTGACACAAAGTCCTCTCTGTTGTAAGCCATCTAGGGTTTGAATAGATGTCGGGGGAAAGAGGTTTGGATTCGGAGAGTGCAGGGAGCTGTGAAAACAAAAAGAGAATAGCTTATTGTTCCGTTTGTGTGCTATAGTTTGTGTCACTAATGACGCTGGGGTTTGACCTCAACGTGACCTTCAGTGCTGCAAACCCCACCAGCGAGGCTCTTTCAGGCAGGCTGGAGAGCAATGCCAAGAGCTAAAACTGATTCCTGATTGAAATGCAGGCAAAGTTCCTAAGTGCCAGAAAAAAAGCTCCTGTGGAGAAATAGGAAAGGTCCGAGCAACACAATCCGCCTCCTCTCCTCTCATTCGCTTTTTTTCATCGTGCACAGATTTCTTTCTTTTTGGACTTTAATAAGGTGTGCACACAAGGACAACATCCTTTGTGTGGATTTGATGCAGAACACACACACACACACACGCACTGTGCGCGCGCACAAGTGTGTATTATGCAGTAGTAGTCACATGGCAGAAGGAGTACTTTAGTAGTTCCGGGGCCGCGGGACAATCTGAGAGGACTGGCTTTTTTTTTTAAATGGTGGCTAAACCGCTCAACAACAACGTTTTCAGTTTTTTTTCAGTTTCCGTTTTGCCCGTGGGTTACTGGGGGTTCAGCCTGCTCAGCTTTTTAAAAGAACGTCCATTCAGAAGCAAACTGAAAATCAACGAGTGGCTTGTGATCCGTTAGCAGCAACAGACGGTAGTAATTTCAGCTCTTGAACTTGTCATATAAACATTGCTTTATTGGACGTTCTTAGCACACAAGCACTCTGCGTGCTCTTCTCACCCACCATTTAGTCATCACATACACACACACAGAGAGACAGGGCGTTTCCATGTTTGCAGAAGGAACTTCCCTTCCTTGCAAGCCGTGCGTGTGACCTCACTTAAGCACTGCGGTGACTGAAGTCGAGTCACTGTGGTTCATCTCACGTCCCATGTGCAGCATGTAGAAACCATGTCCAACATTGAATTGTTACTGAGTGAAGAAGCGTTGCTCCACAGGGAACAACGTCTCACTGAACCTGACCGTCCAGCAGCTGGCTGCGATACAGATGAAGTGAATCACTTACACTTCCTCAAATCTTTCTTGTTTCAAGAGCGTCACTTCCCATTTCTGTGACCTACATGTCCTCATCCTCCTCTCACTCATGCTCACTGGGTTGCTGACCAAAGTGTGAAGACATATCCAAGATTAAGACGTGTCTTTGTGATGAGAACATTCTTCTACATGGTAAAAATGCAGAGCACTTTAACACTGTTGCAGGGGGCTAAGGGGGGGCTAAGGAGGGGGGGGGGACCATCATTCAACATGCTGTCCAGTTGGAGAACTTTGTTAGAGGGCGAGGAAAAACCAAGTGGGAGAGCCACAAAGGGGGGAAAAGGGAGAGGAAGGAGAGAGGCCCAAAGGAAGGAAGACAGAGGTGAAAGGCAGAGAGAAGGGGAGGAAGGAAGAGGGAGGGAGGGAGGGAGGCTGTCAAAAATATGAGGGAGGAGAGGAAAGCAGCCCCCCATGAGGTTTGGAGCTGTGCTGATAGCCAGTATGTGTGAGCAGCAGCAGCAGGGAGAATATGGTGTGTGTGTGTGTGTGTGTGTGTGGGAGGGGGGGGGGGGGTCCTACTGGGTACAGGAGTCACTTGCTTTCCTTCTCTACTTTCAAGAAGATGACAACACAGAAGACTAAAAGTACAGGGCGCTATGTTATAGTCCACTTGTATAAGGTTGGAGAGCCTGTATGAACGGACATGCGGGTTAGCCGGGCCCGGAATTGGACCACCAACCCTCTGATTGGTGGCTGACCGTGCTCCCCACTCACCCACAGTCGCCCGGGTGAAGCTAGTTGAATGAATGCTGATGCTGCTCTGTGTATAATGCACCAATTGTTTTATGAACCCGTTCGACAGGAAAGTCAACTCATGTGACCTCAATATGTATTGTTAGGGATGTTTCACAGAGACAAATGGAATTATTCACTGGTCTTATGTGGACAAACAACGTCCCAGTATGAGCGACTATCAGCCCATATGTCAGTGTGGCTCCTCTTCCTCCAGCTTTAAACTCTTATATTCAAGCTGAAACGTCTGAAATTGAAATTTGAGCTAGCCGACGGTATGCTCATGCACACAAACTTAATACATGTATGCTTTATATCTGCTAAATATATATATTTAAATAAAGTGCAAAAAATATGTATTTTTATTTAAAGGGAGTTGAGCTGTCAGAAAAAAAAATAATTTATAAAAAAGTAAAACGATGGAACTTTTATCAGCGTGATGAAGCCAGTCCATCTCTTAGGAGCCTGCACTGCCAGCCAGGGACTCCAGACTCCATGTGAATAGACCGCAAGAAAAGGATTGCTTTGCACACACACACACACACAGCGCCTTTTAAATAGCACGGTTCCTACATGTGGTTTGGTGAGGAGAGCTGATGCAGTCGTTCCAAGCGCAAAGTACACGTGTATGTAAACACAGTAACGCACTGTTCTGAAGGACAGACAGAAAAGGCAGAGAGACAGACAGAACGGTCCACCGGGACAGAGGTGGCGGGACAGGAGCCTCTCTGATGGATCCGTCATCCGTGCTCCTCTCATTTGTCCCCACTGTCGGTGTGGCTCATATTTAGTGCGTGTGTGTGAGTGAGATTCTTTGGACCTGAATGTCAGAAAGTGCACTTCTCTAATTAACTGTGGTGGAGAGCAGATCGCCCTTTGAATGCGTTACAGCAGCGCTGCATGTTGTAAATCCGAAGCTGAGAGGCATTAAAATATAATATATATAATATATACACGAGGATGCCTTTAATAAGCTCATACCACAACATTTCACTGTTTAGCCTTCCCTTGCCATTTCCTTTTCCTTTAACAGTCTGTTAGATTATTATCGGTGGAGCCACCGCTCAACGTGCTGATGTACGACCTCCACCAACGACCACCGTCTGTAAACTGTCCATCTAAGCACGGAATATTGAAACATTTGATTTGGATGCACAGGTTTGATATCCTCCAAAACAAAAACGTAAATAGAAAAATACTAAGAAAGTAGTTTTGAAGCGCTCGTGCACCTCTGTGTGCCCGTTTCTGTCTGTAATATTAGCTGAGTGATTTGAGTATAGTGGCATTTGTCATTCCCTCCAGTCAGTTACACGCACGCGCGCCCACAGCCCCGTCATACAGCACGGCTGAAAGGCTTATGGAGGAGCTACTCTAGTATCTTGTCAGATTTCTGACTCATGACACATTTTTCATTTTCCCCTTTGCACCTGACTGCACTTTACGGCTCTGGCTCACTCCTCCTGCCTCTCGCTCTCGCTTCAAGAAAATTAAAATGATGTAGACGGGTCCAACGCCCGAAGTGATATCACAATCCATGTGTTGGCCCAGAGGGCACGTGTGTGAGTGTGTGTGGGGGCTTGCTTACTGTTGTCGTGGTGATAAAAGTTGTGATTTTAACATCCACACTACACTGAGTCAGGACCACCACCATGTTTGTTGTTTCTGAATTATGACATGATGATAACAACTTAAACACATTTGAGTCTTTTGTTTTTACGTCCACGTAGATTTCATTAATAGCTGTGCACAAAGCCTTATTTAATGTTTGACATCTTTACTTGTATATCTGGAATCAGGGATAAGCAGCATTCACATTAAAATGCTTGTGGAATTTTCCTTTTCAGCAGATTCTTTTATTCTTTTTTTTAATTCTTTTTTTTCTCCACGTGTCTCACCAGGGTCGCCATGTCAAGACGGGCCAACTGGCAGCTATCAAAGTCATGGAAGTCACTGAGGTAATGGCATGACACATCATGAGGATTGAATGTGCATCAGGTGTCCAGACCCGGGACCAACAGATCCAAAGTCAAGGCACAGCATCCAAAAAAAGACGCTTACAGATATTGTTTCGAGTCTTAACCCCCAGGACGTCCTCTTAGAGGGGTCACAGACTCACAGACCCCCCCCAGTCCCTTGCAATGACTAGCAGAGTGGCCTGCAGGACAGCTACAAGAAAGGCTCAAACCAGCTGCAATGTTTTAAGTCCTCCCTGCAAAAGTCCTAGTAGTGGGTGTCCAGCACCCCACCTGTGTGGAAGTCTGATTTCATGATGTGGCGTAGGTTTTACTTTAGGTGAGACGTAGCCTCAGTCACAATACTGCCAATCTGCTGCTGCAATCGTCTTTCACCATTCTATTTTTTAATCAGTCCCTTGTTAGTCGCTGAACTTCTTAGAAGTGCACCAAATACCTCTGCTCTTTCACCATTTAATTAACAATAGAATGTAAACAGATAAAATAATATATAAAATACAAATACAAAGGAGTGAAAAATGTCCATGTATGGACTCCTTGCAAGCGGAACCTCATTGTAAGCCAAGCAGGACATTAAACATGTCATATTTGTGAGGTAAACTTCAATGTAATCCTCCACGTAGGACACTTAAGACCATTGGTATCTCGTTCTCAGTTACCGGATGACATTGATGTTTTCATTCCCCAAATCTCATCTCCGTGTAGTTTGATCCCTTTCTATGTCCGCTGTGGTTTTAGGAGGAAGAAGAGGAGATCAAACTGGAGATCAACATGTTGAAGAGTTATTCCCACCATAGGAACATTGCCACTTATTATGGAGCTTTTATTAAGAAAGGTCCTGCTGGACAGGACCACCAACTCTGGGTCTGTATCACATCTGTTCTTAACTACTGAGCTTTTCAAAATGAATTTGTTTTGTATTAAATAGCTGCTAGTCCTGCAGGTTCATCATTCTCATATGAATGCCAGTTGTCGTCTCCCTACGTCCTCCTAGTTGGTGATGGAGTATTGTGGAGCTGGCTCCGTCACAGACTTGGTGAAGAAGACCAAGGGGAACTGTCTGAAGGAGGACTGGATTGCGTACATCTGCCGAGAGGTGCTCAGGGTGAGCCACAGCGAACACACACCGTGCCGGTATGGTAGAGCTCTGCTTCTCAGGTGTTCTCACGGGAGAGACCCTTCAAAAGCACAGGTGCTTATTTACATGTGGCTGTGAACGCAGAACGCAGACCTGACGAGGCTAAACCCACTGCCACGCTAGTTCCTGCTCATTTATTCCCTCTGGGGCTCCGAGGGACTGATATGATTCCTTTAAAAAAAAAAATCTACTTGAAAATCCAGCTGGGCATGTCTGCATATGTTGTGTTTAGGGTTATGGGAGATCACGAGGTCCTGAGAAAGAATGTCGACACATCCACATCTGAAGCTGACGTTATCAAGGTCGGACTGAAAGTCAGGCTGTTTCTCTACCAGCTAGACACCTTAAGAGGCGCGCACGCACACACACACACACACACACACACTCCTAACAAGACTCACTTCCTCTGTTTGTCATTTGAAGAAGCGAGCACACACACACACACACACACACTCGTTTAAACGGGGCCACTGATCACTCTGCTACCGTAAACCCTCAGGATCCGCAAAAACACCAGCGGGTTTGTTTGGTTTGCTACACTTACCAGAACTAAACCCTTTATCAAATCCAGGACTGTAAAATGATGCATTAATGACTTTTAGTTCAACTGCAAGCTGCTGAACATGTGCACTGAGGAGAAGTACTACTTGTGGACACGTCGGCCAAATAGTTTTCAGTGTTTTTCAATTTGTATGTAATGTAAAGAAACCTTTTTGGCTTGTTTTTTGCTTCTGATTCATGATGATGCCGCTCGGGTTCAGAGGGTCGGGAAACAGAAAAGTCTACTCTTTGTGCAGCTTTCCCTCCACAAATGGACACAATGCTCTCCTCTTTTAATGGTGCCTTCATAATTATAGTGCTAGTGGTCATCTGACTGTGTGTATTTGTCTCCCAGGGTCTTTCCCATCTTCACGCCCATCATGTGATCCACAGAGACATTAAGGGACAAAATGTTTTGCTCACGGAGAATGCCGAAGTCAAACTGGGTATGAAGAAGGGTCGTGTATGACTGCGTGATGAAGTCGCTCTCCCCTGAAAGGCCTCATGAAGCAGCACATATTTGGTTGTTCCGAGTCCTTTAAATGCGTTTGTGTTTCAGTGGATTTTGGCGTGTCGGCCCAGCTTGACAAGACGATCGGTCGAAGGAACACCTTCATCGGTACGCCCTATTGGATGGCTCCGGAGGTCATCGCCTGTGACGAGAACCCCGAGGCCACATATGACTACAGGGTACTGAATGACACTGTTGTTCATGGTCATTGTAAATGGCTTCTGTAGTTCCTGATCTGTACCCTGGTGCCACACCCAACGCATGTTACTGTTTGTGCACAGAGAGGAAGCGAGCTGGAGCTTCATGTGTGGGCTGGTCTCACCCCTTTCTTCCTGTCTCTCTTGTTCTCAGAGTGACCTCTGGTCTCTAGGCATCACGGCCCTGGAGATGGCTGAAGGAGCCCCTCGTAAGTTCCAAAATATGTCTTTCAGCAGTTGTGTGTATTTCCGCTCAGGACCCCCCCCACTTCACTGTCTCTCTCCCTGTCTTTGTCTGTAGCTCTGTGCGACATGCATCCAATGAGAGCGCTGTTTTTGATTCCACGAAACCCGCCACCCAAACTCAAATCAAAGAAATGGTAAGCCTGCACCCACACAGCAGAGTACACCCTGCAGTGCGTTGAGGAAACGGGGCTCGAAAGTGGTCTTTGTTGTGGGTTTGTTCAGTCAGATAAAACACTTTCTGTTGCTGACATTCTCAGCAGGCGAGACCTCTTCCCCCCCTGGTCGTACCAGGAGCCCCAGAGTTTGAACTGCTCGTTGAACCCATGCTGTCGTCCATTCAGTATTATGCCTGTGGCACGGCTTTGAATAGCTCCCAGGGTCCGGCCTACGCACAGCACTCCTCTCCTTTTTACCCCGGGGCCTCCCACAGGCGACGAGCTCACCAAAGGCCGAGCAGCTCACAGCCGATCACACAGCGCGCCCACATGTTAACCTGGGGACCTCCTGGTTAACACTTCAACATAGTTTGCATTCCGGATGTGTTTGGTAGCCTGTTGTCAAGGATGTCTTTGGTTTGAATAAATGTGACTTTGCAGTGTTTCCCCAAGGCTCATAGTAGTTGGGCGAACGGATTGGCCGACGGGGGGTCTGGGCGCGCACACCCGGAACTGCCGTCCACAAAAATAAAAATACATTTAAAAAAAACGTTTGGGTACGTTCTTCCTCCCAGCTCTCCTTTGACGCCTCTCTCCGTCCTCCCGCAGGACGAAGCGCTTCTTGTCCTTTGCAGAAGGCTGTCTGGTCAAGAACCATCTGCATCGACCCACCACGGATGCCCTGCTGCGACACGCCTTCATCCGAGATCTGGCCAATGAGAGACAAGTCCGCATCATGCTCAAAGACCACCTGGATAGAACCAGGAAGAAACGTGAGAAAGGTGAGGAGAAGTAGATGGGCCTTCACACAACAAGCTTGAGCTTGAGCGGGCGGGAACAGGTTTTCAGTGAGCGCGTTGGGTCAGGATTGAGTCAGCAATGCTGGCCAGGAGCCGTGGCGTAACAACTGCGTCCCTCACTGTCATGTAGCCCGAGTTCGCCCACACGGCACATCAGTGCTGCGTTCCATAACGACTAAACTGCTGCCGGCGGTGGAGGGCGAGGGAATGTTTGAGGAAGCTGCTCCAGAGAAGCCAGAGGGCAAACGGGGGACGGAACGTTTCTGTAAAGAAGTCACAGTCTTCCCTGAAGGACGCCATAAACCAAACAGGCGAATCCGCAATGCCTGCGAGGAATTGTTCAGAACTGTGAAGTCATATTCATGGACTTTATCACCTGCTATAAAATTCCTGTGATGAAAGTAGACTAATGTTTGAACAGAAAAGGTTGAATATCCTGTAAACGGCTGGATCTGCAAAATTTTGTGGCAAAATCTTTACTCAAATTGGAACTAAAACTAATTATAATTAAATGTGCACATAACTTGAAATGTGGGCTCAGCATTTAACGTGTCCACAGCATTTGTGAGCAGCAGATTGCAGTGTACACCCAGGGAGCAACTCAGGGCCTCGATAGCAGCGGCCGGGAATCAAACCCTCCACCCACCAACACTTTTCTAAGGTCCATTGTTTTGAAAGCATTCAAGGTGGTCTTCTTTTTGAACATGTGGGACATATAAATATATAAAAACAAGTCTACATCTAGCAAAGAAACCAGCGCAGAGTGAGATGGGTTCCTAAGTAATATATTTAATTGTAGTAATCAAATTCCCCTTGATCATTGGTCCAGCTCTACTAGCAAGCTAAATAATCATGAGATAATAATGAGCTATTTAATGACTCGTATTGTCTCTCTCTATCTCTCAGAAGGTCCAGAGTACGACTACAGAAGCAGTGATGAAGACGGTGACGAGGTGACGGAGGAGGAAGGGGAGCCCAGGTACACAGTGAATGAATCCACATATCATTGCTCATCGCTAACCCCGCTGACATTCAAAGCTAATGCAGCACGTGTGTGTGTCCAGTATGGACAGATACATTCCGTTGCGGTGCTGGCCGTCTTAGGATGAGCGTTCACAGTGTGTGTAGCTGTGACCGTCTCCTTGGTAACCCGACCGCGCTCCTCCAGGGTCTTTATGCTACGCTGTTACCATGTTTTGCTCCTTCTGTTGCAGCTCCATAGTGAACGTTCCCGGCGAGTGGACATTAAGGCGCGAGTTTCTTCGTCTACAGACGGAGGACAGCCACGGGGGGGGGAAGGGAGGCCACGGGGGAAGTGGGGGTCAACAAAGACAGCAGGTAGGCCAAGAGGTCGTGGGCAACCTTCTACACGTTGATTACTGTTGATACTGTAAATTACATGTAGTCATTTACGATGATCTATGCCTCCTCTGTCTCATTTGGTCACATGATGGTTTCACGTCACACACACACACACACACACACACACACACACACACACACACAATGTCGGTGAGGTTGGATGTTTTTGTAGAGTGAAAGATGGTCCTGTAACTTTATGCAGTTCTGGATAAATATGTAGATATTTTTGTTAATGTTTTATGAACATGCTATTTACTTTTATTTTCAATTAAAAAAAATAGAAGAAAAATGTTTCTCTATGCTCTCAATTAAAATGACAAAGAAAAATCTGAAAAGATCAGAATCCTGCGGACAGACCAGCTGAGAAAAATGTAACGTGATATAAATGGACAGAATATTTATCAGTCAAAGCAATAATTGTCATATTAAGCAATGATGAGGGTAATGATGGGTAATTGCAGCCCTGATTATTATTAGTTATAGTGACGTAGTTATTCAGTGGCAGTAGATGCAGGTAGTGCTTTCAGCACAGCGAGTTCAGGCCAGCTCACAACGTCCGTCACAACCGACCACCAACGTGTAACTTTAGTCCTGTTAAAGGTTGACGTGTAACTGGCTCATATCACCACTTTAACCTGTTCTTAACATACACATTCCTCCGTTGTTTTCCCCATTTTATTTGTACCTCTCAGGCACTGCAGCAGCACAGGCAGCAGCTGGCTGAGCAGGAGCGATACAAGCAGCAGCTACAGGCCGACAGGCAGAAGAGGATCCAGCAGCAGCACGAGCAGCGGCAGAAGTTAGAGGACGTAAGTGCTGCTCGCGCTCTTCTCCTGTGTTCACAGCATCGAGACGCGAGTAAGCAGGAACTCCCAACATGTCAGAGCGGTGAACGCGTCCGTACGAGAAGCCCTTCAGTGTCACAGAGCCTCAAGCCTCTGATGTTCCGTTGTAACTATGTGTCATGTTGATGGTCTGACAATCTTAGCTCGATGCCTGCGAATACAAAGGCCACATATCGGCCCCATGTGAACAAACATGTGAACAAACAAAAAATCTGTGTCCATATTTTTACAGCCATTGACACTTTTTACCGTTTCCAGCAGCAGAGGCGGCAGCGGGCAGATTGCGCCTTTCAGTGGGCGGAGCTTCAAGAGATCTTGTTCGGGGAGGAGTCCGATCTCCACGACAACCGGATCTCATTGGATGACAGAAACGGGAAGAGCAACAGGAGACGGGTAAAGATACGCTACTGGTCCTGCAGACGCTTTTGTGTGATCTAAAAGTCAAATAATGCTGCCATGTTGGTGTGTGCTACTTTCCAACCTCCCCGTCACCTCCTCTCATGGGGTTCACTGTCGGTTCAGGGCGACAGGTCTGTTCTCACTATCTTCTGATTGGGTACAGATTTGTATTCGAGGATGAACCGATGGTCATGGTACCAATGATCATGGGGGTCTAACGTCTTTGTGACTAAAACTATTTAAATGGCTGTGAATTATACAAAGAAGGAGAATACGCTTAAATGCTTTAGAAACAGGAGGTCTGAAATGGTCATGTGATTAAATATCCATTTAATTTCACCCAAATCGCTAACGGGATATTCTATCTTTTTTTCTTTATCATTTCTTTGTATAAAGGTTTGTTTGTTTTTCCTCTTGATGTCTTTTCTATTTTTGAAGCTTAAAGATGTCCGTTGTTAAACCAAAGGAGTCATGCTTCACCTCCTGTTCAAATGACATGATTTGTAATGGTAGGATACAGAACCTAATGAGAAGGAATGGGACCTTTTGGGGAAACATTTCCATCAACTTGAGTTTGATCGTTGTCCAACAACAGGCTTCTTCTCAGTATTTCAAACTGTCTTCTTCCATCTAAACCTGAGGAATAAAATGTACCGTATACAAGAAGAAGCCTGTTAAACGTTTTTGCTAGTTGGAGATTGAATACGGAATCCTTTCCTTTTCTGCAGTTTAGTGTACTATCCGTGTATTTTACTCTCTTAAAACTTAATTTCATCAGACAGATCTTTCAGAGATTGAAGATCACGTTACTGTGAAATAGTGTTTGTTAGTGGTGTGTGTGTGTGTGAGGGCGAATTGTCTCGGCCAATTCGCGTCACTTTAAACAAAGACAGATAGTGATATAGTGGAGAAAGTCCTTTTTTTGTCATTAATTTGAACATGGAGGTAATGAATCCATCCCACACGCCACTGAGTCTCGAGAGGTTTTTATTAACGCTGAGGAGCAGGTTAGGAGCTGTGATTTCTTCCCTGGGTTTCAACACTATTAATATCTGTCTGCTTCCATTACATGTCTACCTGTGCCGGTGTGCGTGCGGCAGAGATTGGACTCTGATTACACACATTGCCTGTGAACCGTTAAGTTCAGGCGGGCCTAATGGATCTATCTGATGCTTCGTTACGTTTTAAAGCATTTGCATTTAATTATGTTACCGGCTCAGTGAGTGTGTGATGAGGTGTCAGATGAGGAACTTGCTGCGGTGCCGTTCAGCGCTTCACGCGTTGATGGATTTGACAAGTTCCACGCGGCACATGAGTGGCGTGTCGGTGGCTCAAAGGTGAGAGGAGTGGCCGTGTGTGTGTGGACTGAGCAACTGTGACCCCCAACGCCCTCCATGGTGTTTGAAATGGTTGGTTAGTTCTGTGGTTGTATAGAAGTCTGAGAAAATCACTAGTTTCAAGTCCTCTTCAATACAGCATGAGGTTCATTTAGTAAGTTCTGGTCCCTTTTGAGTCAAATAGTGCATAAGGAGGAGTACGCTGTGTTGATGGACATGTAGCTACGCAAGCCGCACACTGCGCCGCTACGGCACTTTGAATATGCTCCCTTCGGTTCACCGGTTGCATAAAAACAAGAATAATACTCAAAAATACTCAATACCGATACTCTGGTTCATGTGACCAGTAGGTTCCCTGAATCCTTAAATAAACCAGTTAGTCAGCTCTTTCTCCCCACGTCTCTGCTCTTCATTGATGCTTTTTCATGCGGAGTAATCTCTCTGTAAGTTACGTATGAGATCATGATTCTTTGTGGAGAAACTGGGTTACACAGACCTGTCAGTCGAAATCTTAACTTACTTCTTAAGCAACACAACCATGTACGTCGCATTAGAAGTTCTGCGGTTGAGCAATGTATTCATCATGGCTCCCTGAACTAAAGCGGCTCAAGCTCCTCCACCACAAAGGTTCAACGAAGCTAATGTTTGAAAAGAGACAATGCGTTACATTGTTAAAAGTTGCTACGGTTTGGACTAATTGGACATATGAGGATTTTCTAGGAGAAATTCAGAAAGAGGTCGCGATGAAATATTTAGATTCGAGGGCGTCTGCTAAAAGCACCATGCCATCTTGCACACTCTGAATATTTTAGTTCCCACCTCTCAGAATTCTGCCCTAGACCTCTGTGTACCCTAATTAAAATAAGTGTGTGTGTGTTCAGCAGGACCAGGCAGACAGACAGCGGTATGCCGATGTGTCAGTAAGGCCTCTGGACTCCACCACAGAGCAGGTAACAAACCCTCCCGCTACGCCTTCACTCGCTCCTCGTTAATTCAAATGGCCGAGGGCAGGCGGGCTTTCTTTGGAAAGCTCCTGGATGCCTGTAACGCACCTGTGTTGTGAGTCTGCGATATCTGTGTGTGTGCAAACTGCTAACCTCGCAGGGGGACATTTTCATCTTTGGTTGTGTTCTCTTATGCAATTGTTCTCTTTACACGTTTGCTTCACGTCTTCCGGTGTTTGTGTTTTTGCAGTAATTTATCTGCTGCCTGTTTTACGTGTCTGTGTGTGTGTGTGTGTGTGTGTGTGTGTGTGTGTGTGTGTGTGTGTGTGTGTGTGTGTGTGTGTGTGTGTGTGTGTGTGTGTGTGTGTGTGTGGCGCGTTTCAATGAGACGAGGTGTGAAACAATGACTTATTTGTACCATTTTTCTGCAACTGTGTAAATACTTAATTTCCAGCGCACCAAATTAATTTAGAAAATATTCTGTGGCTTTATGGATGAAATAAAATAGCAGAAGAAGAAGCAGCAACGATGCTCACTTAAGGACATTAAAGGGGAGACGTGTTTGTAAAGCCGAGGAGAGAATGTGCTCCGATCCAAAGAGGAACGGCTGTGTGTGGGAGAGAAGTAAGCGACTACTTCACTGCCCCCCCGGTAAGATGAAAGGAGCGCAGAGGCCGGAAGACATGATTATCAGGCACTTCCATGGAGCGTGGAAGAGAACAAAAAGGGGAGAAATCTCTCCCCCCGCACCTTTTTTGAAAGGTTCATTTGGAAGTGGTCTTTCAAAGCGGCAGAGACTTGTGTGTTTGGGACTCAGGGTCAGCTCTTACGCCGCTGCTCATCGTCACATCGGGATTAGAAGTCTCAGCGTCCTCACGGCTTCTTCCATCGCTCCGCCACAGCGCCGAACACCTCTGCTCTACCGCGTCTCTCTTTTGCCTCCAAAGGTGTTTTTCACAGAACCACCAAGCACGTCTCCCCCAAAGGCCCTTGTGGTTCTGTTGTCTTCCTGACATTATGAATGGGTGGATCTTTCTAAATATTAATAATAAAAATATTATATATTATAAAAATATAATAAAAACAGCGTAGCAAACAGGTGGCAAAGGAATATTTATTTTTGATATTTTGCAGATGGGTTTATGGAATCGTGTTTAACAGTCAGGAATTTATTTATGACTGCATTTGGCCCTAGGATTACGATTATTATAATTTGTTATTTGCAATAATTCCAGTCAACTACGACAACTTAGATGTTATTTATTCTTTAGTGAGTTTGGTCCCCGTTCAGTAAGTATTTTCTATTGTACTTCAGTGAAAAGGGCTCAGTTTTCTCCCGTCCGCAACATGCAAGTTGTAGACTGACAGACTTATGACAGAAAAAACATGCAGAATTCTAAATGTTCTTTTTATTTGTATAAAAATATGATTTTTAGAACAAATCAGTAAATATTTATTTAAATGTTTGCTTTCATGAAAGACTATGGTTTATTGTTCCATAACACAGATAACGCTTATTTTTCACACGTAGATGTTAACATTTATCTCATCGCGCGTCAGTTAAACTGAAAATGACCTCAAGTCAAATATCAATTTGACGTGGAGTGGATATAAAAAGTCTACACAACGCTGTTAAAATGACAGTTGTGTGTGACGTAAAAAAGTGACACGTCAGAAGCCTATTCACCGTTTATTTAGCTATAAGATAAACAATTCAATTGAAAAAAAATATATTAAATCTTTTAGGAGGCAAAGCTAAAATAATGTTGTTTCATAAGAGTGCACACGCCCTTCTAAATGGGGATGTGGCTGCGTTCACATTCAACCACTCCCATCCGGTTTAATAAGAGTCAGTCTACACCTGTCATCATATAAAGTGATTCATTCCAAATCACCTTCAGCTGTTCGAGAAAGACTTTCCTGACCCCTCTGAGTTGCATCTGACAGCACAAGCCATCGTCAGCAGAGAGCTTCCAAAGCATCACACAGATCTCAGTCAGAAGGGCGACGCGCTCCGTGGCTGCTGGGAGAGACGGGGCGTCTCGGTCCCGCTACCTATCGGCTCGGGATGGTTGTGTACCGCTCAGTATGTTTAAAAAATATACTGGCGGTATTCCAGTTAAACCAGTGAACCGCCTCCTAACTGCTGATCCCCACAAAGTACATGAAGGCATTCATAAATGTCTGTGTTCTCCCATTGGCTGTTCTAGCTGTAGACAGTCACGGCTCTTTGTTTCTGCTTTTATTGCACTTCCTCTGGAGAAAGTTGTGCTTACAATTCGTGTCTCCATCCAGAGCGGCAGCTCGTTGGCACATTTCTGTCTTATGAATGTGTTCCGTTTGCGTTTTACACAACAGCTTCTTTCTAATGTGCCTCTTTGAATGTGTGAGAGCGTCTGCGTGACTAAGCATGTGTTTTTACCACCATGGGTTTGTCCTGTCCGTTTCTACTCCACCTGGGAGTGTCAGTCTACACGTGCACAACATCCACTTGATCGCTTGTTATGAATAGTCGAACCAGTCTGAGAAGTTTCAGTTTACATCATTGATCCACCACGGAGCTCACATCAGCTCTTATTGTTCCTGAGTTAGAACATCCAGACGCTCTGCCGGCTGAGAAGCCGTGCCGATATTATTACTATTCACTGTGATTTGCATCTGAAGTCAAATCTGATTAACGAATGTCCGGCCATTCTACTCTATATGAGCGTTCTTAATTAGATTTGATTAACAAGATTCAGCTTCTATTTCTAAGAGGGATTGAAACCAGTTTAAATATGTTTAATGGGAGGATGTGTGTTGTCAAGCTAGCCGATGAGATTGAGACGTTGTAGTTAAAATAATAATAGTACTGAGGTTTAGACCGCAGTATATCATAATGAATTGGATAACAAAGTTTACAAAGCAAGTCAATATGACCACAGAATATATCAAATATATAAATTACTAATCAAATAATTAAAAGATCAAATAACATCAAACCTTAGCCAGGTAAAGGTTTTAAGAGCAATTCAAAAGAGAAATGGTGCAAAGTTAAATCTAATGAAACCTCAGCATTTGTGAAGATACTCTAGCTGTTATTTTCCTGACTCTAGAATGACATGTAACTCAGTAATACATAAATCTAATGATATAAGTACATATAAGACAGTCCACATATACGTCATTGCACACGGACACTCCCAGGCCCCGTCACCGCCTTTGTGTGTGCTTTCCATGTCTGCGACGTAGAGGGCCGCCGCGCCGAACCAGCCGCTTCAGCGCAAAGCCCCGCCCTCCCCGCCGCAAGCCACGCCCCGGCCTCTGGCTCAGCACCAGCAGCCCTCGGCGGGCAGGAGATCCCACCGCACGCTGCCCAAGGACCAAACCCAGCTGCTGTCGCTGCAGCACGACCACAGGCACCGGGAGAGAGAGAGGCAGAGGCAGAGCGAGACGCCTGTAGCAGCTGTCCAGCAGCTAACGGCTATCGGCGGGAGCGCCGCCGCCGCTGCCTCTCCCTCGCCCCGCCGCGCCGCATACAGCCAGCGCTCAGCGGTAAACGCGCCCCCCTCTTCCACTGTCTGCCTTCATCACCTCTGTGCCCACACCACTTTTATTGAGGGCCATTTCTACAAGAAAGAGACGTGCCCACAGTTTACAATACACATCTATATGTTTAAAGACAATATGCTTACTTGATCCCAGTAAAGTGAGGTTATTCTGACTCGATGTATAAAATCTCCTGCATCTGAAATCAAAATCTTTTCAGGAGACATGTGACATTGATTAGTGGAACTCTTCATGTCCACACGCTTACAGTAGAAATTGTACCAACAATGTTCCTGACCTCAAATAAGACCTTTTATCTACAATCATGTACCCACAATACAGCACTTAAGCAGCTAATAGCTGATAGCAGGCCCCCCATAGGGATTAACTAGTCCATATACACACAGCTCTTACATGTGTTTCCTGTGTTTAGATGGACCTCCAAGATTCAAACCTAGCCAGGCTGCTTTTGGCTGCCGGTCTGCCCAACCAGGTGCACTCCAGGCTGGGCTCTGGGAGCAGCTCGAGTCCCTGTACTCCCGCCATGCAGAGAGCTCACCTCAACCAGGTACTTGCACTTCTTTTCAATCTGCTGTGTTTTATACACACAATATTAAATGGCTGATTCAATTCTCAAAGTAACAGATGTTCATGGCTGTGTTCTACTTTTCTGTCCCAAGAATGCCAATCTTCGCTCAAGCCGGGACGCCCCTCACAGCAGCTCCATGTCAGACGTGGCCATCTCCCCGTTGTCCCCAATTTGCCCCCAGTCCTCGACTGATGACGTCTTCTGGGACTCCAGGACGCCCCCCAAGGTGACCAACGACTGTCCTATTAGCTGCCGGGTGACACTCTTAAGTTTATTTAGAGAAACGAGGGAAACGTTGGAGTGAGAGAGAGAGGAAGTAGTGGTATGGTCATGCCAGGCGGCATCACATGAGGCTGGCATCCTGTGATGGCGCATGCTAGGCCTCTTGTGATGTGCTCACACCACGCTAAGGACGCGGTGCAGGCAGCACGCGGTCGGCCTGCTGAGGCTGTGTGTTTGCGCAGCAGGGGGGGGGGACAAGGGTCTCTTAGCCGACGCAAACAACCATCTCAATGTAAATGTTCCCACAGGAGCTTAAAAAGTCACTTAAGTCACTAACTTCTTAACAGACTCCGGGCTTCTCCACTCACCTGCTGGTTGGTGCGACTGAGAGTTTGAGAAGAATGTTGAAAGATTCTGTTTTGAAACGCAGTTGATAGAAAACGGTTTGGAAATATCTCTGAGTCAGATGGAGTTTCCCCCTGCGTGTGAGATTTTGGAAGTTTGGAGTTTAAAGGCGCACCATTGAAATGTGAAGACGTTGAAGCCAAGCCCATGGGATTGTCCAGGGTGAAAATGTCCCAGTGGCTTAACGTGGACTTTTATGCACTATTCTCGTCATCCTTTCAGGCCTTTTAGGGGATGCCGTACTTAAAGTTTCATAAACCGCAGCAACCTTTCCATAATAAGCTCAAACTCGTGCTCGACCAGACGCAGGATCCTCGTAAAGATCAGAGCCCTCCCAAACATACAATCTCACAATCGGAGTGGTCTTTCTGCCTAATCTGTTTTACTGGACTCTTCTTCTGGTCTCCGTCCAGGTCCCAGAGCGCACCACCTCCAAGTTCTACTGCCGAGAGCTGGTGATGGGACGCAACAAGGCGGACTCGAGGTAGAGCACAGCTATACTGAAGACCTGGAGGAATGTGGCGTTTAGGACGGGTGGTCTGCGTGTGAGCCCATGAGCTCACCTCAGGAGCTTAAGAAGTCATACGCTCTGTGTTGGATTAAACTGAACCATCAGCACACCATGTAGTCCCTCTTACCTGTACAAGGGCTTTTAGCACGTTTCAGGGAAGCTCCACTGTTGTTGTTCATCCAGTTTACATGCATCCGTCTGTCCTTAAGTTGGAAAAAATGTAGAATATGAATGTTTATTGGCCGTATGTTTAATATTGCAACCATGCTAATAGCAGGGCAGTTATCCTGCACAGTGAGCATTGTTTGAGAGGGTTTGTATCACATTACAGGTCAGCACACTTTGATGATAGTTCATATTGGATCCTAGTTTGGTGATCCATTTCGATTGGAGTTAACTAATATTCAGCAACTTGTGTCGCATTGGCAGCGTGAAGGATATAAGAACGATTGGAACATACACAAGTGTATAACATCAATTGAATGACCCTCTGGGGCTCTGTGTGTGTCTCTTTCTCCACCTAGTGGCAGTCCAGCGTCTGTAGCCGATACGAGCGGGCGTTCTGCGTCTCACGGCGTGACCTCCAGCAGCAGCAGTTACCAAGGTGTGTGTCAGCCGGAGCCCAGCAGGCTCTCTGTAAGAGCTGTATGAGCATTACTATACAGTTATGTCGTTTGTTTAAATGAGTCATTTCAAATTAGAACCTACATTGTTTTGATCTTTGAATTGAACTCTCAATGTGCACTGAAGTATGGATTTCTTTGCATAATTCATTTTTCCATGGAACCAGCCAATTTATAGTTAAGTCAACACACAGTGACAAAGCAGAGTTGCTGTGATAATTGTAGCCAGTGTGTGGTTTTGTTTTTTATTGCAGACTTTTTCAAGGGGGGGGGCCGCCCCTCTGTTACAATGGTTGGTTTCTACAACGTGATCCGAGTCCACTCTGCTATATTCAGTTGATTGGGCAGAGTTTAGAGAGGCTCTTATCGGCCTATATCCGGTCCCACACGTGGCCGTGCATGTCAGCACAAACCAAGCCATGAAGTCCAGGGAAATGTCTGTAGACCTCTGAAACAAAATCGAGGCACTGATCTGGTGACGGGTACAGGAAAATCTCTGCAGCATTGAAGGCCCCAATGAGCACAGTTGCCTCCATCATCCGCAAATAGAAGCAGTTTGGAACCAGCAGGACTCTTCCTGCAGTTGGCCGCCCAGCCAGACTGAGCGATCGGGGGAGAAGGGCCTTAGTCAGGGAGGTGAACAAGGACCCGGTGGTCACTCTGACAGAGCTCCGTTCATTTTTTTCAAAAATAGAAACACTTTTTTCACTTTGTCATTATGGGGTGTTTTGGATTTGGATTTAATCCATTTTAAAGCTGGAGGCTGTGACATAACAATGTGGAAAAAGTGAAGCGCTGTATCTGTTCAGCCAGTGGGGGGGGAAGTGTAGCCAGGAATCATGTTCCTACAATATTCTTCTTACAACTTCCATCCTAATGCCGGTAGCCTGAGACTGTAAAGATAAAGTAATAATGTTAATACCATCATTGCACAATGAGCTGGAGAGTGGTCGGTTCACGTGCCCACACACCAAAACACCCTCCTCACAGACAGGCAGCCCCCAACAAGCCCCCCAGGGACAGGAGAACATGGCAGCCAGAGCCCCCCTGTGGAGAGAGAAGCGCCTCTGTGTCCCCCGTGCGTGGCAGCTAGGGAGCTCTTGTTGTGGCTGTGAGCCGTACAAAGAGGAAGAGAATACTTCAAGAGTTTCCCTCTGTGTGCAGTTGGAAATGGATTTTGATGCCTCCCGCTCAGTTTGGCTGCCTTGTTTTCAAAGTCTCAGATCAGAGATCCTCCCAGAGACCCGTACAGCTTTGCTGCAGTAACAGAGGACGTGACCATAGAAGAGCGGATGTCCTCTTTGAACCACACTGTTGTAATGTTTTGGTGCAGCGTTACCGATGCACTCCACGTGGTGATACAGTTTTCCCATGTAGTGTCTATGGGCTCATTTGTGCCCGGTTAATAGCCTCTCACCTCTAATGTTAGCCTGGTAGGGATCAGTGGTCTGCTAAACACCAGCCTGCAGAGCTGCTGCTAATGAGTGTTTGTGTGTTTGTCGTAGGCTACTTCAATCTGGAGAGTCCTCTTTTACAGCACCGTCTGCAGCAGCAGAGGAGGACGCAAGAGAGCATCACCAGTGGGCACAGACACGTAAATGCTGCATTGTTTTTCCAACTGGGCTTTGTTCTACAAGCACAGCAGTATCAGATGTTGTGTAGCTATCTCCGTCTGAACCCCATGAAACTACAGGCGTGCTGAGCTCCTCATACCTCTCGTGTCCTCCCCTGTTCAGGGCGTGCGGTCGGCTGTGGGTCGGCTGAACAAGGCCACAGAGTACTCGTCATCCAGCGACGAGCTCGGCAGCAGTGACGATGAAGAGAGGAACAGGTGAGATCTTCGTCAGTACAAGGATGCCATCGTTCACCATGTTCCACCGGGCGTTTCTCCCTCTTTCCTGTTCATCACAAGAACAGAAACTCTTGACTCACAATTTATTGCTTCACCCTTCGTTTCGCAATTATAAGACAAGCCCTTTTGCAAGATGTAATTTACCAATAGTGAAACCAATAAGATAAAAAAAAGGTCAAGACTTCTGACGTGTCCACTGAGATCCAGACCTGCCAAGGCCGAGCTCCTAAACACAAGCGCCACCTTAACAGTGACCAGCCTCGTCTGTCAACGTTCCATTAAAGTTGATCCTTTTTTTGCTGTGAAGCAACAGATTTATGTGTGCACATGGAGCAGGTAATGAGATTACAGTTCTGATCTTTGGAAGTTAAGCAGCCTGCTTTCCGTTGCCATCGATCTCGAGTGTGTATTGATCCCGTCTCCATCTGATTAATGCTGTACCTGCACTCAGACTGCAATCTATAATCTCTACCTGTCTCTGCCCTCCGAGGTCCGGGCTGTCCAACGGGAAGGGGAGATACTTCAGAGGAATACACGATGGGATCGTACTGCAACCACACCACAATCTCAACCAGGTGCCCTGCGCTCGCACACACACAGTTACTCCTCTTTGAACTTGTATGCTTAAACCCAGCGGGTGCAACATCCATCCTGTTGGAGAGGGAAGACAACAGCCTCCTCTCTGCGTACTGTGTCCTACAGATCTCTCTGATAGGTTCGGATGACACGCACCTGCTACCGGACCTCCTGCAGAAGGCGTCCTCCTCCAGCAGTCCTACCCACAATGCACCAAGCCAACAGCAGCTCAACTACTCCCACTTACCCACAGCCCCTCACTCCCCCACACACCAGGAGGTGCATGTGAGTTTATTAGGGGGGAGAATGCACTAAGAGAGACTTAAGCAGATACTGTCCATCCGCAGGTTTTTTTGGGATTGGATCAGTGATTTTAAGAAAGTCTCAGTGGGTGAAAGAAACTGATCAGCTTTTGATTAAAAAAGCCTCGATATTATCATGACACCTTATTTTAATAATAGCAGGCTGTGTAACCTAAACACAGTAGGGAAGATGAATGATACGAGGTCATTAGCATTGTTTAAACGACATTCTCCATCTTTAGGTTTTCCACTCAAGAAATGCAGGACTTTTGGTTATATTTTGCCACAGCGTGCAGCAGAGGGCGCTGTTGTCACAGGAAGCAAGTGAAATAAAATAGACAGGCCAGGTTCATGTTGCTATTAAGCGGGAAAAGGATAATCTAATACTGGATATGGAGCCAAAGCCTTACAATATAACTGAAGCTGGGGAATAAACGGTTTGTTTCTTTGTTGATGCTCATCCTCAGGCCGTCAGCAGTCCTACTGGTGGAAACACCTCTTCTTCTTCCTCCTTCTTGTCATTCATCGATCCAAGATTGATCCCCATGTCATCCCCCCCTGAGAGCCCTGGCAAGTGCATTTACACACACACACACACACACAGTTAACATACGGACTTATTCCTCTGTGAGTAAATAAAGACGTTTTTGTTCACAATGAATACATAATTTCATTTGTAACAACAGCGTGCATCACTGACTCTGTTGTTCCATCTCCACCCAGTGGGCAGCAAAGGTGAGCAAATCAAGAGGGAAAACCACAGGAAAGGCTCTGTGGTCAACGTGAACCCGACCAACATTCGACCGCAGAGCGACTCTCCGGAGATCCGAAAGTACAAGAAGAAGTTCAACACGGAGGTTCTCTGTGCGGGACTGTGGGGTTTGTACTTTTACTTTCATGTGTTTCTGGGAGGGCGGCTGTCGTGCAGGGCGCGCTGGTGGTGCTGGGGTTTGAGGTTGGCGTCTGCTCTGTGCTGTAGGCGTCAATCTGCTGGTGGGGACGGAGAACGGCCTGTGGCTGCTGGACCGCAGCGGTCAGGGGAAAGTCTACTCACTCATCAGCAGACGGAGGTTCCAGCAGATGGACGTGCTGGAAGGACTCAACGTACTCATCACTATATCAGGTACTTGTACGCCATGGATGCTCATGTACTGCTCGGTATTGTAGCTTCTACCTGCAGGCCATCAGGCTGATGAACAGCTCGCTCCCAAGACACCTGCCCACCCCCCCCACACCACTGATAACAGCCCCACTACATGCATACATACATACACACACACACACACACACAGACAGACCTGTGACTTATTGGCAAAAACGCACAATGCACTTTAGCGTTTGCCTAACGCATGCACATATTTATACATTGTGCACTTTAGAGTGTATATATATATATATATGTATTACATTGGACAGAGTAACCTGTTAAACCTTACACATGACAATAACTATCTTGAATGGTATGTATAAGCTGTAGCTCTAGACGCTCTCCGTCCGTGCCTGTAGGTAAAAAGAACAAGCTCCGTCTGTACTACCTGTCCTGGTTAAGGAACAAAATCCTCCACAACGACCCAGAGGTGGAGAAGAGACAGAGTTGGACCTCGGTAGGCGACCTAGAGGGCTGTGTACACTACAAAGTGGGTAAGTACACGCTGCCAAGGGCACCTTGAATGGAATCTCTTTTCAGAGCTGCAAACTAGAAAACACTGCATGAGCAGGTCGGGTCACAGCTATTCGATAAAGACTCCATCTGGTCTCCACAGTGCGTTACGAGAAGATAAAGTTCCTCGTGATTGCCTTGAAGAATGCAGTGGAGGTGTACGCCTGGGCCCCCAAACCCTACCACAAGTTCATGGCTTTCAAGGTTGGTACCAGTAAAGGTCCACATTTCTGGAAGGAAGGACTGACCTATTTGTCCATATATTCATTCACAGGTCAGGCACGCAGCGCTGCATGAATACTTCCACCTGCTCTGCCAGTATCATTATTGAATTAGCAGTACTGGCCATCATTGCCTTTTTCTGTCCTTACGACAGCGTTGCACATCTAGGACCAAACATTAATGGGCCAAAAAGAAAAAAAAAAAAGTGTAAAAGTTTCACCAGCACAGCCATGACTCACGCTCTCAGTAGAGCTGTGTCCTATTTCTCTCTCCGTGTCCTTGGTGGCTTGAGCTGGTTTATTTCTCCACGTAGTTCCACCCTGTCCCCTCAGAAGGGACGGCTCCACTGTCTCAGCATGGCTGTGCTACGCAAGTGCTCTACTAATGGTCCACGTCCCTTGTTGATTTATTATTAAGGCACCAGTTCTTTTCTAAATGAAATGTTGAGATTGACTCAGACCATCCTTACAGTTGTTTGTTTCTGTGTGTGTGTGTGTGTGTGTGTGTGTGTGTGTGTGTGTTTCCTCCCCAGTCATTTAGGTCCCTGCCTCAAAAGCCACTGTCTGTTGACCTGACAGTGGAGGAAGGTCAGAGGTTAAAGGTCATCTACGGCTCCTTGTCCGGCTTCCACGCCATCGATGTGGACTCTGGGACGCCATACGACCTCTACCTGCCCACACATGTGAGACGCTTGATGTTTAATGTTGGACACTTGGTATGCAAGTGCTTTTTATGTTTCGCTGCGGAGAGTTTTCACGCTTATAGCTGCAAGGCGGTCGCCCCAAAGGGGCTTCTAGTCCTGAAATGATCCAATGTGCTCGTCTACAAGTTGATGCCTCAAATCAGCTTGTGTTCACCACAGACCTTAACAGATTTGATCAGATTCAGATCTCTGATATACCGGGTTCCCTCCACTCATCTCAGGGTGCATTTCTCCCACTCACAGTCTCTAGATGTCAGTCATTGCTCTCCTGTTACCCTCTCTCTTCTCTCCCACTCATCCTATTGCTGTCAAACACTTTTCTTTCTCATTCAGTCTCTTCCTCTCTTCCCCCCACGCCGTCCAGTGTGGCATTTTCTTGTTTTTCTCCCTCATTTTGATCTTCTCTTTGGCTTTATTAACCTCGCTGTGTTCTGTCTATGTGCAGGTAGTGTTTTGATCTCCATTCAGACGTTGTCTGTGTTTTTAGTACGCCTGTTTTTCTTGAAACTGTAGAGGTGTATCAGGGGATGTTCGGCTTAAGAGATCTTCTTCTGTAGATGTTGTTGCTGGTTCATTTTGCACTGACTGTATTCTAGAGCGTGAAGGAACACACCCCTCCACAGACCACAACATGAAGCTTAACAATACCAAAGCAGTGACCATTGGCTAGTTGGCAGTCAGTTAGTCCACCACATAGATGAAGAGATATTCTAATCGTCACCTGAGTGTAACTCTGTTGACTCTTTTCCTTTCGCGCCCACATCAAGTCCAATCTTGAGAGTAGAACAGTGTCAAGTAATTGTTTGCTTCTTTGGCAGAATGTGAGGCTTTACAAATGAGGATAAAGGGATTCTGTATTTGCTCATATAGCCTGAAACTGGTCATTTGGCCAATGTTTTGATAACAGACCGCAGCCATTCTGACTAATGGTAACGTGTGTGTGTGTGTGTGTGTGTGTGTGTGTGTGTGTGTTTCACATAATTTCATTAAGCTGGAAAATGGGTCTCCCTTTGCACGGTTGACATGTGTTGCTCTATCGTTCGGCTTTTCCACGGCCCTCTGAATCCCGGCACGTTCTGCTCATATGAACGGCACGTCAGTCCCAGTGATCAGCAAGTAGCGCCGTGGACAGTTTGTCAGTCTGATTCAATGGCTTCAACATAAATATGATTCACAGCAGTGTATTTTCCCACTTGATCTCATGAAAACGTGTTTTTAATACAACGAATACTACTACATCTTCCAACATGGCTCGATTCTTCACTGTTGGTTTTCTCGGTTCCTATGCTGTTTGCCCTGCATGCGTGCTGTTAAGTTTATATCATCGTGGCAATCAAGAAATTGTCCCATTTTGGATATTAGCCATTGCTGTAGAAAAAGAGGTCAACCCAATGACAGCGTTATAACAGTTTTGTAATACTCCGTACCATGAGCTCGAATGAACCCTTTTCTTGCTCATTTTCACACACACACACACACACACACACATATTGGGGCAGGCGCCCTTAGTGTGTGCTACTTTATATCCGCACGGGGACTTTAAGCATGGTGAAGTAGAGAGACGGAAGTACAAAAAAAGAAAGAAAAAGCTCCAAAAATACCTCCCTCCTGTCCTCCTCCCTGCATCATTTACTAAGTGACCTGTTTCCCCCCCTCCCCTCTCTTCTTCTGTGGTATATTAAGCCTGTGTGCACACAGCTCGCCTCCACACCGGTGCCTTATGCTGCTGCTGCTTATCATACATCATTTCAGCTCTTTCTCTCTCCTGCTTATAGAGTAAAGATTTACGCTCTCTTCCTAACGAACACACACACCCGGAGTACTTTTAAACACACTCACAATCCTCGCGCTGTAGTTCCCTTTTTGTGAGCACCCTTGAGGACACCTTCTTTGGAGCTGCATCCGTGGCCTGAGACACACACACACTTCTTCTTATGCGCGCATCTCGCCACACAAATACACCTACATCAGCAGTATTCTCTCACAACTCCGATTTCTACTTTGTAATCGCCGCTAAAAGCAAGTCACTTACCCAGAAACATGATGCAGCACTCGTTCACTTAAAGGAACACGCACACATCTTCCACAATAACCATGCGGATTCCAAGGCAGAGGATTAAGATTGCGTTGCGTCTGTGGATGCCTGTTCTGATGCTCAGGATTGTGGTGGCTCACACTCTGGTACAGTATGACACACACTCACACCACTCGTATCCACCCACCCCATGGAGCACCACCAAACACCACCTAACTTGGTTCTTTTTACCGATCGAGCTGGTTAGATAAGTGTGTTTGTGATCTGGTTAGATACGTGTGTGTGTGTGTGTGTGTGTGTGTTTGTGATCTGGTTAGATACGTGTGTGTGTGTGTGTGTGAGATCTGGTTAGATACGTGTGTGTGAGATCTGGTTAGATACGTGTGTGTGTGATCTGGTTAGATACGTGTGTGTGAGATCTGGTTAGATACGTGTGTGTGTGTGTGTGTGTGAACTAGTTAGATACGTGTGTGTGTGTGTGTGTGTGTGCCGATCTGGGATAGTATCAGTGTGTGACAAACTCGGATAGATAAGGATGTGCGGGATACGTAACATATTGAGCGCGTACGGTTGGTCCCGAGACAGATAAGTGCGTTTGAGCGAGTGGTGGTCTGACAAACGGGAACACTTTACACGGAACGAACTCCGGATATCCGTTGGAATCAGACCCTGTTAGAACAGACGCCTGCTTTGAGAAAATGGTTCCCTTGGACCGTTTGATAGGATAAGGATGCAGCCCGTGAACTTTGATAGAAGCATCCGTGTCTACGACGTGAATTTCCGGTGA